TGCTGCCCTCCAGCTGAGGTGCTGCAGGGCTCCTCCCAGCCTGGCAGTTTTTGACTGTGTGTGGCAGAGGCAGAGTGCTGCCAGAGACAGGGCATAAGGAGGGACATGCTGTGACATCCCGCTGCTGTGCTGTGGGAGCTCTTCGGTAACATCTGAGACCATCTCCCCTGCCAGAGCTGGGCTTAGCTGGAGCTCTTAGTGCTTCCCTATTTTAACCCGAGTTGTGCTGGCTAGTGAAATTTCTATATGCGGTCACTCTCCTTTTGAAGTCAATTCCTTTTATCACAGAATCACAAAATCATGAAATTACAGAATGGTTACTGCTGGAAGGGACTTCTGCAGGTCGTCTAGTCCAACCCCCCTGCCAAAGCAGGTTTATCTAGAGCAGGTTGCCCAGGATTGCATCCAGAGGCTTCTTGAATATCTCCAGTGAGGGAGAATCCACAACCTCTCTGGACAGCTTGTCCCAGTGCTCGGCCACCTGCACAGGAAGGAAGTTCTTCATCATAATCAGGTGGAACTTCCTGTGTTTCAGTTTGTGCCCATTGTCCCTTGTCCTGTCACCAGGCACCACTGACAAGATTCTGGCACCATGCTCTTGACACCAGCCCTCAAGATACCTGTATGCATTGATGTGGTTCCCTCTCAGCTGTCTCTTCTTCAGGCTAAACAGGCCCAGCTTCCTCAGCTGTTTCTCTGAAAAGAGATGCTCTAGTCTCCTAATCTTCCTCTGCTGGACCCTCTTCAGTAATTCCTTGTCTTCCTTGAACTCAGGAGACCAGAACTGGACACAGCACCCCAGATGGGGCAGGGCAGACTAGTGGGGAGGGATTACTTGTTCTTTAAAACATCCAAGTCACTTCAAAGAACAACCTCTGCAGGACTCTAGCTATTCCTGGAGTTCCACGGTCCAGCAGAGGTTACACTGCCACTAGGAATATTGCTCCATGGCTTTGCCACAAAAGCCGGTTCTGTGGGGTGTAATCTCTGACTCCTCTTTGTGTTCACTTACATGTTCTTTGCTTCCTAGGAGGGAAAAGGCTTCCTAGGCTAGGAAAATGCCAGGAGAGCAAAAGTTTGATGTATTAACTGATGATTTAGAGATCAGAGCCCTGCTCTGGAGAGGAAATGAAATAAAATATGGATTGGTTTCTGTTGGCATCCTTTTTATAGACCTCCTCCTACAGCATCTTGAAGTATAGTTGGGTTTCAGTGGAATGGTCTCATAAAATAGCAAAGCTGACAGGACTACTAGACTATGGAAAATATTTGTTATAAATACTAATGACCACTTGGGCTGTGAAAGATCCTGCATTTGGCACTTACAAAACTCTTTACACAGACTCTTAGAAGTTACTGCAATTGTTATTTATGTCTGCAAACACTCCTTGAAGACAAGAAGACACAACCCAAAAAAAGGGGGCAGTCTACTGAGAAAACTTAATGCTTGAATGGTCTTCAATTAATATTTTCCACCAGCAAAGAAGCCATATCTGAAAGAGAGCTCTGTGCTTAGAGGAGGACAGGTCGCAGAATCACAGAATCAATTAGCTTGGAAAGCACCTCTCACACCATCGAGTCCAGCCTTTGATCCCCACCCTGCCAGCTACACCAAGGGGTGCTGACTGGCACAGCCAGTCTGTCCTTAAACACCTCCAGGGACAGTGACTCCACCATCTCCCTGGGTGGTCCAATCCAATGTCTTCACCCTTTCTGTGAAGAAATTCTTCCTAATGTCCAACTGAAACCTCTCCAGGCACAGCTTAAGACTATGCCCTTTCATCCTGTCCCTACTTACTTGGGAGAAGAGGCAGACCCACACGTGGCTGCCACCTCCTTTCAGGTAGCTGCAGAGGAAGTGTGAAGGCATGAAGGTGTGAAGCACAGGGCTTGCTGACCTCAATGAGTTATAGTTCTTTGGTTGCAAGGGTTTCTCCCTTACAATAACTACTGGTGACTGTGCAGAAAAGCCATTAGAATTTCTCTTCATTATGTACAGGACCAGATATTGGGGTGACTGAAGCCTTTGAATGAGAAACTGGATTACAAAGACCCTGTTTTCAGGAATCACCAAACACTAACAAAATATGGGAAGCAGAATTGTCATCTGTGCTGTGTGCATTAGTAAGCTTTCATCTTAAGGACAGTCTCAAGTTGACAAAAAAGGAAAGGGAGCTGATATCAACAAAAGTGAGGTCATTATTAAATCCTTGATGGTTTTGATAGGAAGGCCTTGTTTTTCTTACTGAAAAACTACAAAGAGACTCAGCTTCCTAATGTAAAGCTCATAACAGGTCATACTTGGGCAATAAGCAGGTGACACTTGTAGGAGCTGAACTTCTCCTGTCCCCTGCAAGGGAGAAGGCTGGAAACATGGGACATGTGTCCAGAATATTGACTTCTGCTGTGACACTGTGCTTCATTTTGCTGTCTCATCCCATAGAGAGCCAGTCACTTGTTCATGGATCTCTGCTTTATGAAGTTATTCCATTAAATATTCATAACCTTCTGACAGAGTTATAGAATAGTTTGAGTTGGAAGGAACCTTTCCACTTGTCTGGGCAACCAGTGCCAGTGTCTCACCATCCTCCTCACAAAAAAATTCTTTCTTATATCTAACCTAAACAGACTCTCTTTTAGTTTAAAACCATTAGCCCATTTTCCCATCAACAAGCCCTACTAAAAAGACTGTCTCCATCTTCAGCCACCCCATTTGTCTTTGCAGCACAGTTAGGTAGTGTGAGCCCTCATTGCAAACAAAGTGATTAAAAATAAACGTGTAAATCTTATGGATTTGAAGATTGTAACCAATTCCATGAGTGCTTGGGGCTTACAGCATTCTGCTGTGATAAGAAAAAATATATAAAAATTTTCTTATCAGTAATTTTCACAAAGCTGTGCAACAGACCAGGTGGGTGTTTGCACCTAGAACTTTGCCTTGACTAACCTGCCTTTGTACCTTGAAGTTTTCTCTGCAGTCTTGTCTGGTAATACTGCTTCTCCAAGGGAAGCCAAATGCACTGCCTCTACCAACTATAGCCTGGGGGTGGGGGTGGGGGGGGAACACACTATCAACAGCAGAAAGCTGTGTGGATCAAAACCAAGAGAAACACTAATGAATAAATGGGAGTGTTGGCAAGGCAGTCTGTAACACTGGTGCTAGCTGGGAGAAATGGCTGGCTGGCTTTGCCCAGCTAGAAGAGACAAAATGCTTGAGAGGTGTAGTTCCATTTCACAGGACCACCTCATACTCATTACACTGGAATCAGTTTGTGCTAATACAATATTAGCAGAAACTGAAGAGTCCTCCATGATACAGCAGCAGCAGCTTCAGTTGCTGCAACCCCTCCAACAACACAGTTAACAGAGGGAGCAGACCCAGCAAGATCCCTTCCAAAGCCACTGCCATTACAGATGCTACACAATTTGTCTTAGAAATGCCTAAGTGCAAGGTGATTTGGAGCAAGAGTTTTAGGAGTGTTGCTCAGATAGTATTAAAGTGTTATAGCAGGCCCTGATTTAGGCATAAATTGATAAAAGGGACTTAAGTCTCCTTTTTACCTTCTGGAGCCAAAAGCAGCACCAGGACCCAAGGTTGGGCTCATGCTGCATGATGGGATAGAACTGCCCCTGCAGAGAGTCACTCTACAGAAAATGAAGGTATTTCAAAACCAATGTCAAATTATTTGTAATTCCTGGGTTTAGGAGCTTGTCTTGCTTGTATCTTGGAAGAGACGGTCAAAATTACTACTCCTGCCAACTGCAAGTGAGCATGAGCATGTTTGGTCACATGTAAGAAAAAGGAGCCAGTTGACAAGAGTTTCAACACTGAGAAGTGTTGGTTCATGTACCTCTTCAGACTGGAACAAGGAGCCCATTTTTGTACTACTGCACTGGCCATCTGCTGTACCTACTCAAATGATCTTTACAGGCAGATTTGTATGCAAGAAGAGAGTAAACAGCAGTTTGCCTAAACACAGGCATAATTATTCCAGCCACTCCTCAAGGTTCTCTTGAGTTTTCTCCAGCAGTTATTTCTACCCACAGTCTCCACAACTGAGAGAAATCTGTTTGGTTTGCCCAGCTTCATTTGTAAAGAGAAAAATACAGAAAAAGCCACACAAGCAACTCTGAAAAGCAGCAAAATACATCTGAGCAAACTTCTGAAAGGTAACTCCAGAGTCAATGATGAATTTGCATCTAAAATGGATATTGAAAACATTCTTTTACAAAGTACTTGCAATGACTTGGAGTACAACTTGTGCCATAATTTAAAGAGTTCCACAGAAACAGCAATATAAGGTGATGCAAACAAAGTTATACATAGTGGAGAAATCACAAATCCTAAGTATGCAAATGCATGGTAATAATCAAACACTTGGTTTAAGAAGTAAAAAGCAGAAATACTTTGGTCTTAAATACTTCAGTTCCCGAACTCTTCAGAAAGCCCTTTATCAAAAAAGACAATATTTTCTTTTATACCGTGTCAAATATTAAGTGTTATTAGGAGAGTAAAATATGATTTATTGATGGAAAAGTTGAAACAAAATGGAACATATCCAGGGACGGAAAGTGTTTTTCTGAGGGTTATTCTGTTTTGAAATAAAAATAAAGAGGCTAAGATAATTTTAGGGTTTCTCTCATAGAGTAGGAAGCCATGAAGTACATTTAAATTCTTTTAATTTTGCCTGGAAATTCAAGTTTGGATATCCATCTCCATTTGACACATCCAAGAGGGAGGGAGAGATAAAAATCACGTAGTAAACTTAGAACTAAGCCGAACACTTAATCTCCCCTTTGTTTAACGACCCAGAAGCTCGGCTGCCAACCCCCTTGCACACGGGGCAGAACGCTCCGGACGCCGGCAAGGGCCACGCTCGCCTTTCAACACCAGCAACCTTCCCAAAAGCGATCGCCGATTTAAACGTCTCGTCCGCGCTTTTCACCTCAGAAGTGCCCCCCGTGGAGCGAGTCGAGGCAAACATGGAGTAGCTGTCCTTTCACCCGGCAATATCCGACATCCCCCGCCCTGCCCCGCCGCCCGTCCTGCCTTCACCCCGGCCCCTGCCGCCGCCGGGGATCGGGGGCGCCGGGCTGCCCTTACCTGTGCCGCGCCCTCCCTCGCAGCCCCTTCTCCGCCTTCCTCCCTTCCTTCCTTTCCCCTCCTCCGGGGCTCTCGCTGCCGGCCCGGGCAGCGCCGGGGGCAGGACCCTGCAGCTGCGGCCCCCGGGGATGCGCCGCAGCCGCTCCAGATGTTTGCGGCGCGGCCGCCCAGATGTTCCCCTGGCGGCCCCGCGGGGGGCGGGCGTTCTCCTCCCCGCCTGGCCGGGAAGGACCCAGAGCAGAGCCAAAGGAAAGGGGCTCGGGGAAAGCGAGGCTTCCGCGGGATCCGGCGCTGCCCGCCCCCTCTCCTGCCCCGCTTTCCAGGAAAAGCGGCCGAGAGCGGGCAGGGCTGGCGCGGGGCTGGCGGCCGAGGACAGCGGCTCCCAGTAGCCCGGCAAGGCGAGAAAAAATAGAAGAAGTAGAGAGTCTTTCAGACATACAAACCTTCCTTTGATCGCTGCATATAACAGAGGCCTTTTTTTTTATTTACACATACACCGACAGCCGTGGCTTTCTCCACGAAAATGAGCACCCATGGCTGTAATTCCTGTAATTTAGCAGGAATTTATGGTACAGAGCTGAATCCAAAAGAAGAATGTCTAAAAATAAAATTTAAAGAACGAAACCACGGCTTTATTTGCAGATGTCATCCTGTAGTAAAGAAGTAAATAAGTGACATTACAGAATCGTTTACAGTGTAACGAAGGGCATCTCACACTGCATCACCTCTCTTACAACCACCAGAAAGAACACCAATGAAAGCCTCAAATCCTTAATTGTGGAAAAATCCTCCTTTGAGGTATTTGCCGGGAAGCTGTGATAACCGGGTTTTGAAGCTCTGTTTAAACTACACCAGAAAACTCCCTTGACCCTTTTCCACCCCTGTCAGCATCAAGTTCTTGTGTCACCAGATTCCCCTGTGGCTGTAGGAATAACCAAGCCAAGGTGCTGCTCTCCCTACCAGTAAGTCACAACTTGGACTGAATTCTGAGACACTTCTCTCAAGTCCCCTAATTTAAGATTTCTACTTTCATGATCCAGAAACATTTTTGTGGAAATTGGTGGGGGAAATCAACTCCATATAAGGATTAAAACTTTTTCACACTCATCTTCTCAGGAAGCTGCATCCACGCCTGCTCTTTAGGACAAAGTGACACTTTCACTCTTAGATAAATAGTACTCCAGCAAATACCCCTCAGCATCTGGCAAGCAGATGCTTTTGCAGGTTGGATGATGCAATGAGTACAGAGAAAAGGGCTAAAATATTTCCCAGAAGGACCACCTCTCTGTAAACAGTGCTTCAAAAATCCAGCCTCTATGAAAGCTGCTTCCTGGTCTGAGTGACTTTTTCTGCATTTTTTTTTCAGACAGCAGAATGCATTTCACATCACAACATTAATCCCTACCTAATGGATATCCTTGTCTTGCAGGAGAGTTTTCATAGACTGAGCTTAATCAGTCAGTAACACTGATAATTGTAATAACCTCTTCTATTTACCACTGGTTTGATGTTTGTCTTGGCAGTGGAGCAATAATTGCTTCCTGGGATTCCTCATTTTCATCCACACTTAAAATGACATAAAAGTCAATCTAAGTGACAACCAATGTTGCCAATGTAAAAAACTCCAGCTGGCATCCCCGGGGCCCTGCAGGGATCCTGCACTTCTGCGAGTCAGTGTGCGTCAAAGTAACCGCAGAGAAGTGCATGCATAAAATATTGTACAAAACTGCTGGAGACTATAGAAATAACAAAACATCTTTTGTGGTGTTTTTACCTAAGGTCAGCAAAAGGATGACAGTTCTGCCACATTCAGTCAAGTTCAGACCTTCCTTCATTTTGGCCTTACTCTTTTTGCCTTATTCCACAGTTAGTTATGAAATTAATTCAATGCTCCTTTTGCAGACTTAGGATCCATGCTTGACACACAGGCAGGCAACTGAGCTCTTCTCTTGCTGGAGGAAAGGGGCATCCAAACAGCATTTGTTTGGTTTTTCCCTGATGATATTGAGCATTGCATCTGAAGCAAGGAGCTAAAATGTTATTTCATAGCAAAGCCTAAATGATGTTAGATGAATTTGCAAGTAGTGCTTGATCTACTTTCCACAGAGGTTAGCTTAATGAAACATCCCATGGTCAAATGCCTGTGGCTCCAAGACCCACAGGTCCATTACATTGCATTTAGTGTGGTGCCCAGTGCTTTTACTTCATCAGAGTTATCACAAATACCAGGCACTAACATCAGCCATGAAGTCACACAGCTATGTCTTGATCCAAATAATTCATGAGCACATTACAGACAAATTAGAACTCTAGATGTTTTAGGATTATTGTAACATCTGCATTTTGGCCCAGAAGGCAAAACTGCCCCTGGGGGCAGGTGAGCTGGTTTCAGCCTGGGCACTTGAGGGAACACTACTCTACAAATCCAGACATGTTTCTGGGTGAAAACTGAAGTGAAATGTTGATCTACTCCCCTGAACACTTGGAATCCAAGGGTTGTGTTGGCTGTTTGTAGATATCTTTGTAGCACCGCACCTAATTTATAGCTGAGGGAGTGAAGGTCCCCCCACCATATAAGTTAAAAGCAGGTTCAGGACCATCTGATGAAGGTGAATAGCCATGAGTGTCTAGGACCTGGTGGTATGCATCCCAGGGTCCTGAGGGAACTGGCTGATGTTGTTGCCAAGCCACTTCCCTTCATATTTGAAAAGTCACAGTGGTCAGGCAAAGTTCCCAGTGACCGGGAAAAAAGGGAAACATTGCTCCCATTTTCAAAAAGGGGAGAAAGGAAGATATGAGGAATTCTTTACTCAGAATTCTTTACTGTGAGGGTGCTGGAGACACTGGCACAGGTTGCCCAGAGAAGCTGTGGTTGCCCCATCCCTGGCAGTGTTCAAAGCCAGGCTGGATGGGGCCCTGAGCAACCTGGTCTAGCAGAAGATGTCCATGTTCCTGCCCATGGCAGGGGGGTTGGAACTTGATGGTTTGTAAGGTTCCTTCCAACCCAAACCATTCTATGGTTTTATGAAATGTACCATAGAAGTAGAAGGCTGATAAAATAATAGCTCTCTGGATAAAGTGCCCAAAAAGCTAAACAAATAATTCTGGCCTTGCAAAGTTCATGCAACAATTGAATAAAGAGAAATACATGCACTTGCTATGATTTCAGAAAAAAACACAAACATTGACATTCTGGTTTTAATACAACTTCTAACATCAAAATAAGTAAAAAGTGAATTTGAATACAAAGACCCATATTACAAAAGTCCATTCTTTGGAGTTCTATTAGGGATATTTGCTCTTGCATGGACTTTGAAGGTACACATTTCAATCTGTAAAGTTTAAAAATGCTTCCAGGCTTAATCCCATCATCTGGCGTGGCGGGGGGGGGGGGGGGGGGGAAGAAACATAGTTACATCATACATGAAATTTCTAAGTTTTTTTATGTTAATAGTTATTAGCTATATTTATGTTGTCTGCTTTTTGGTTTTTTATGAGTAGCCTATAAGAGCTTTGTAAGAAACTTTCAAAAGGAATACTTTTTCTGAGTTTATATCCTGTCAATGCAATGTCTCAAGCTGATTTCTAGCATATAAAACTGTAACCCCCCCCCCCCTTATGAAAGTCTTTCATCTAGAACAACATGCAAAAACAATCATGGTGATAAAAAGTCAGCAGAGCTCAGCTTAACACTATCTGCATGAACAGAGGAACTTCAGGAGAATTTCCTGAAACAATCTATAATTCACAGGTAATTGGCTATGGTTCAAGTTAATCAGAGTCCTTTGAACTAGTTGAGCAATTTGGCATGGAGAATCTAATGTAATAAAGCCAGAAACACCAGGAGTAGTAACAGTATAAACTTTCTCCCCAGATATTCCTATCCCTTTATTATGATGATGAAGAATGGAGAAATCTGGGAAAAGCAGAAAGTCGTTTGCAGGTTCCAAATGTTTTTCTTCTCAGAATTTCAGTTCTTGAAGCAAATATGTCTGAACCCTGAGACCTGTGCAGGTGAGCTTGTCTGCAGTACTGTGTTGCTTTTGTGTACATGTTAAACCATGACACAAATGCATAAAAAAAGATTGAGCCCTTTCCCACAGTGCCGAGCAAGAATCTTTACTTTTCCTTGTCTCATCGGGTATCAGCTAAATGAGAGAAAATATGATTTTAAAGCTGCAAATATCAACACAGAGCTCTGAAACTCATCTCTGAGAATGTGGAATGGAACTTCTTTGTACTATGCTCCAGCTCATGATGCAAGTTTTGTGTTAGAAAACAAGAAATTATTCATAATGATGAAAATTACCTGGCATTTTTTGATGAAAGACAGTCAGCAATAGAATAGTCAAACAAATTTACAAGATGTAACTTCTAAATAGCATCAGGCAATGGAGAGCTCATCTGGTGTGCTCACTCACGGTCAAATATCAAGCCAAGTCCTAGCTTATCCGGGACATGGAAATCTAAGGCAGAGGGCTGTGGGAAAATGGAGTAATCTACTAATAGAAGAAATGACAGCTGAAGGAACTAGAAACTCTCCCTGCTTCTATCAAGTTCCTTAGTCACATCTAGGTGAGATATCTACATGTCTGACTTATGGTTTCTTGTTTTTAGACAGCTGGTAGGAGACATTTAGGTTATAGATTTATAGAAGCACCCAGCACTCAGAACAGTAAATGAAGTCTGCTGCATCAGTTAGTTAAATCATAAAGTATTCTGAACAAATGCCAGAGCTCATGGAGTATTCCAAGAAACTTCATCAAATTGTAATAAAAAGTTCCCAGTTCCCTGGAAATAGTAGCTTCTCACCTTTAGGCACACTGTGATGATAAATAGTCAGAGGCTTCAGGGACGCCACCCCAAAAAACCTCATGAAGAAGCTGTCAGCTCCGAATTCAGCGCAGTGTCTGGGTTAGGTGGTGATAAACAGGGCTTCTAGTCACACACTTGGTCCAGGAAATGCAGAGACCAGCTTCATTCCCAGACACTGTCCTGAGTTTACACTGAATGAGGCGCTAGTCCTGTGGGAAAAATAGTATGCAGTCAATTAAATAATGTCACATAATACACGTTGTGTGGAGGAAGGGAAAAGGAGGCCAAACTATCCTTCCAAAGGCAGCCTTAGGTCTGGATTTGTCCAGCATTTAAGAGTTTAACTTTGTAAACCTAGGGAGGTTCTTTCCCTATTTTTAAAAGTTGCAGTTTTATCTTCCTCATTGTTTTGTTAATTTTTGGTCTCTCAGTCTCTCTGGCTCAGTTGCTGACGTTCTGCACGTATCTCGGGTGAGTCAGGAGAGTTAGCTGGGAAAAGGCATCGGGGTGAACAACCCTCTGGACAGAGACACCAGGCAGAAAGAACAGGATGGGGAAACCGGCCAGTTAAGCAATGATATGAAAAACATCAGCTGTAGCCCAGCCTAGGGAGAAAGAAGGAAAAATTCTTTTTCAGCAGGAGAGGGAAAGTGAGAGCTGGAGTGCAGCTGTGGAAGGTGAGAGTGGAGTGATGAGAAGGTTAGAAATCTAATGTCACTGCATAGGCATTGCCTCCTGTGACCCTTCTCCCTTGGCTCTTCTGCAGCACTGCAGGAAAATGTCCTCCTGCTTGCTACGTGTGGTTGTTGTACCAGTCTTCATCCCACGGAACACCAGGGCCATAAAATCTTTGGTGCATAAAAGCTCCCCCAATACACACATTTATCACTTACAGGGAAAAGGAAGAGCCATCTTTCTTTTGGAGGAACTCCATCCAAGTCACAAAAGTGTCTGTGACCAGGTGCAATATTCCCAGAGGACACTTTCCCCTCAGTCACTGTCCTCCCACCCAGCTCCTTACAGACATGCCCATGTGCCCCATCTCACTAGGAAATGGATCCTTTGGTCTCCCAGCTGGCTGTCACTTAGGGAAACTTCGACCTCCCAAAATATCTGAATGTACAGAGCCCCTGTGAACCCAAAACTCCTCTACAAACCAGCTTGCTCCCAAAGGCAGCTCTGGGCTCTGTCCACCACATTTCTCCCCAAGGATCAGTGGAATCACAATCAGACCACCACAGGAAAAAGTTCAGCCTGAACTCCTCACCTCTGGCGTCACCAGCTCTGGTCCCAAGCCAGGCACCAAGTCACAGGTGCAGACGTGCTTCAGCGTTAATTCACCAGGGTCCTCCTCCTCTTTGCTTTAATCCAGAAGTCCATCTGGCACTGCCACTTCCACAGTGCAGACTCCCACTTGTTCCTGCCTTTTCACAAGATTTCCCACAGCATGGGAATGTCCATCTGCCCATGGGTTAGAATATATTAACACAGACACAATATCAGCACAGGCATACTTGAACATGGGTTTGAGCTTGCTAGGTGATGTTGGATACAAATGGGGTCACAGGCAATCAGCTAAGCATTTCTGTAGGAAAAGGCCATTGTAGGGAAGCTGGGGACTGATGGGGAGAAGGCTGTTTCTGAGCAAGAAAGTTGAGAGAAAGCAGAGAAACCCAGAGGCAGCTTGAAAAGTAATAGTTTGTGGCCAGGCAGGAGGAGAGAAACCCACAGTACAGGACAGTTCTGGGAGATGCAGACCTAATTGTCAGCACATGTCTCTGTATGTGTGTATGTGTGTGTGTGTATACATATATATATATATATATATATATATATATGCATGTATATATGTATAGTGCATATGTTATATAAATACACATAAAATGATATTTTGTACCTTGGTGAACAGGCACAATAAAAATGAAACTGCCAACTAATTTAGTAAGCCAGTGATAAATGTAAAAGGGAAAGAAGGTAAATTCTGATTCCGTGTCTCCTGCTGAAATTCCCAGCCAAATCATCCTTTTTAAATTGCTATCAGCTTTGTTTTGACTTTCCTGTGACTTACTTTCTTTCTTTTATGAAATGCAGTTGTTTTACCTGCTTTTTATTTCTGAGCAAATACACACATTTACTTGACAGGACATATGAACTGATCCTGCCAATGGGTCCATTTATGCTTTACTTCACAGCCACGAATAACCTCCCTGCAATTAGCATATTTGTATGTGCTTGGAGAATGAAGTTCAATATGGCTTTATGAGTCCAGACTGCCTCTGCAATAACAGTGAGAGGCCAAGGACTGTAACTCACCTTACCTGTGCAAAGAAGCTGAGTGGTTTAAGACTCCTGCTGCTCCCCAGGTGCTTATTTCTGTCCCACTGCCAGATGTACCCTCACAGCAAAGTCACTCAACAGGAGCGTGTCCCTGCCCATTGCCGTGGGAGTCCTCAGCCCAGCAAAACAGCACAAACCTCCCCACATCCCAGACTCTGAACCAGACCAGCCAAAATTGGGGTGGACATACCACCCACATCCCTTAGCGGTTGTAGAGGAGAGGGTTGCATTTGATGAACAAAGATGTTTTGAAATGTATTTTAAAATGTGGCTTATTTTCAGCTCTGCTGCCTGTGAAAAGTAGTTGTGCTGCTTGGAAGAATAAAAATGTTATTGCTTTTTCTCCCTGAGAAACTTCTGTCATAATAAACCTGGGGCAAGAAATGTATTATCTTTCCTATAGTAAGGACTGGAAGAGAGCTGGATCAGGGTTTTCTGCTGACCATGGGGTAAACACTGCAATTCCTAATACCAGACTAAGCTCTGCCATGGGTTTCAGTTTATATTGATTTCCTTTATATAAAAAAGAAAAGCCATATTTGAACAGCACAGGGCAAAATTTGACCACTTGGACCTGTGCTGTTGATGACAGTTATCTCCTTCTGAGTGTAATTATTTTAGTCTCAAACTCATGCTTGCACTGGATTATAGTGCATGTTCTCACTTGGTATAGACAGACTCCCTCTGCTGGAAAACGGCTAAGAAGGTTGTCTAGCTGATTAATGATTGTAAGTGAAAGAACTTGCAAACAGTGTATTCTGTGGCAAATATGCAATTTTGACTTACATTGTCCGAGGAATTGTAAAAATATTTTGACTTCTTCCCCAATCACTGGGAAGGAGCTAGGAGGTTTTACCTTCAAAGTTTATATCTGAACTTTGTAAAAATTCACACCACTTACACTAACCTTATAATGCACTAATGCACTGAGTAAAGTTTTGATTTCTCTTTTTTCTGTATTTAGAATCAAGCCTTGAATAGATCCCCACTGTAATCCTGGAGGATCTTCTCTTCATCACAGAGGACAAGACCTTATGGACGCACCAGGACATGACGTGTGGGACGGGTTGGTTTCTTTAGCAGCAACTTTTGAATACACTGTTAAAAGCAAGTGGAAAAGAGTACTTGCAAACAGGATTTTAATGCAAGAATTCCTGTTATTTCTCAGGAATTTTAGGAGGTGGAGCTGATATATTTCCTTAAGAAATCAAATTATTTACTGGATCATTGATCTTAAGGAAAGGAAGGTTAGTATTGTTAGATTAAGTCCTCTTATCATCAGAATAACTTCAGCAGGATCCAGGTTATACACAGCTTTACTTTTTTTCTAGAAGAATATATTATCCAGTGCTTTCTATTTTTGCTTATTTGAGACAAAAGAGTATTGAGATAAGATCTGTGTTTTAAAGTACCACTATAGCACAGCAGTTATGCCTGCTTCTCTCACTCCACTCACCCCACCAATGTGTCTCGGATGCCACCTACAGAAAGAACCTCCAAAGAGAGGAGGACGTGGTGCTTGGTGCCTTTCCTGACGTTATCAATATAGGCAACAACTATACCATATAATTTACCATCATAGAATCACAGAACAGTTTGGATTAAAAGATTGTTTGGTTCCAAGCACTGTGCCATGGGCAAGGAACATACCAATAGACCTGGTTACTCAGGGCCTCATCCAGCCTTCCAGCGATGGGGAGCCCAAAACCTCCATGCACTTGTGAAAAGTTCCTATCCAGATTTCTTGTAAACCCCCTTTAGGTACTGGCAGGGGCTCTGAGGTCTCCCTGAAGCCTTTTCTTCTCTGGGCTGAACAGTTCCAAAAACTCTCAGCTTGTCACAGGAGAGGTGCTCCAGGCCTGTGATCAGTTTAGTGCCTCACCTCTGGACTCATTCCAGCAGGTCAGTGTCTTTCTTGTGTTGGGGGCCCCAGAGCTGAACACAGTGCATCAACTAGCAGGAAATTAGGAGAACTGACTGCTCCCTCTCTGCAGTGCCAGCTCTGAACTGCAGACATTGAAACACCCAGCTGCTTGCAGCTCTTTCGGAGCACTGTGTTCCACTTTTCCACTAATACAGCTATTTAAAGAATGAGACACTCTGGCTGCAGCAGCTTCAGTGTGGCCCACCATCTTCACCTTTGGTCTTTCCATCAGTGCAAAACATTGTTAAAAGTCATTAAAGATAGCACTGAGGGTTCTCCCACCTTCTAAGTAGCATCTGGTAATACAGGATTACTGCAACAGCTTCAACACAGATGTATCACCTCTCAGTCACCAGCATTCAGGGTTTAGTCAAGATTCTCTACTCTGTATATTGCAAGTAACAGAAAATAAGGCCCTGAGAGTTTGCCATAAGCCCTCTTTATGAAAGCTGTGCATGCAGTGAAGTTCTGTGCTCCTGTCAGTCCTCAAGACACCATGAGAAATTGCACATGGATCCAAATCTTCTTGCTCCAACTGAAATTTGTATCATTCTCAGCTCAGAATTGCTTTGGATTAGGACATCACATTGCAGTGAGTACCCTGAGTGATGGACATTATGGTCGATGCCCATTGACCAGATGAGACCTGGAATATCCTAACGTGAGAGTCCTTTTGTTCCATGCAAAAGGCATTAAAGAAAATGAAGTAGCTTCACCTGCAGCTGTGGGCATGTAGAAATTGGCACAATGGAAAAGGAATTGATGAATATATATCTATCCCAAATTCTTGGCTAAACTGCAGTTGCCAGTCCTGCACAGGTAAGAGCAGCTCAAAGTTACTTGGTTCTCCCTGAAGATCTTTTATTGCTGCTGGGACCACTAGAGCAAAGAAATGCCCTAATCATTCCTCTCTGCCAGGCATAAACTTGTGCTAATCTGAAATCACCGTAGCTGCTTTCTGACGGACAGATTTCTCTGTATAGGAGTCCTCAGGGAGTAGACCCACTATATTTAAAAAGCTTATGAGAACCATTGAAGATGTACTTTGTGCATACAGGAAGAGCAGTATATCAAATGAGAGCCATTGCATAATGGTCCAGGAACGGCTGGTTTTCAAAGGACCAAACCTTGGCATTCACCTCATACCATGGGATATAGCTGCAGGCAACCATGTCCATGAATCCTTCTGCTCAAGCTTTAGAGCAAAAAAATAGTTCTGTCTTGATACTTCATTATCAGGAACAGTACTAATTCTCTCCAGTCTGAGGACTCTCTGTAGGAGCCTTGATGGCTTTTTGATGAAAATTCACGTACAACTGTCACAGGTTGGTTGGTCTTCTCAATTCACCAAAACTTTTGTCAGTTTAGAAATTGTATGAACTGAAGCATTTTGACAAGCATATAAGAAGGACAAGAATGCATCTAGTATGACAGAATATTGATGCTCATTGTATCACTTCTTTCTCTTATTTTCTATCTGACCTCAGGGACAAGACACAGCTGAGAAAAATTATCTTTTTCCAAAGAACTGTAGATACTGAGCTGGGATTCAGAGAGATCCTCCTAATAGTAGCAATAGCATCTGTCAAGCCAGTCTAAAACAACAGTGAAAATGAAAATCAACATGCTATGAGCAATGTTTTCTTTGATGAGTGGGTTTATTTTCACATTTGTTCGCACACAATTACCTAAAGCTCTGGCACAACAACTGCAGGCAAAGCATCCTTTATGAAGTTTGTTGTATTTCAGTATTCAATTCTTTCATTGAGTGACTAGATTTTGGCTGTAATATCTCTCTGGAAATATTTCAAGACCTGTCTGTTTACAGCAGTTTTGGCAGAAAGCTGTGATAAACTCAAAGTCCTGTGATTATGATTCATTACTGTGCGAATAATTTCAGTTATCAAGCTTGATTATATCTCTGCATGGTTTTACACTATCCACATGTACACTGAGTGTCTTCAGAGCCAGGGCTGTGCTTACCCAAATACCTTTTTTGCGCTAAAGAACAAAACCCTGCTGATTAATATTTTAATATTTTTTGTATTTTATATTTTAGGAGTTTTTTTAATAGGTATTATATTCTTCTTCAGTTATACATTATGGTTGCTTCATTTTTATTTTATTCATGCATTTAAATATTTCCTATTTTTTTTTTCACCAGAAAGGGTTCTTGTGAGCATGTACATAAATACAGCTGTTACATCATTTTACATGTGTGGTATATGGCATTTCATATACCAATATAAGTTAACCAGCACTCAAAATTTAATTCATCCTCCAAACCATGCTGCAATTAAACATTACCTGAGAAGCAAGCATAAATATTTTGCTTTGGGAATGCCCATCTGACAGATGAGGTAACCCCAACTGATGTCCTCTTCTTAGCTCTTTCAGAAAACACTGGGGTGTAAGTCTCTCTTGCTCTTGAAAGATTTGTATGTACCCACATCTTCCCTTCCCACAGGAGCGCTTTCCAGCTAGCCTGAAATGCTGGAAGAATTCACAGGGATGAGTGTTTTATCAGACGATGGTCTTCCACTTGGGAGACACAGCAAGTTTAATATTTCCTTCATGGGTCCCTTGAATCACACCAGTTTTCCTGCTCATTCCCCTTTCTGTTTCATGTTTTCAATATTTCTTATTAGTGAGCATATGGATTTCTTCATCCCTTTGTCTTCACTTCCCACTGAAGCCTGACTTCCTTCATGTCGAGGGTTTGGACTCTGATACAACTTGCAGCCATCCCACTCTTGGAAAGGGCAGAAAAAGCAAACAGTGTTTGCCCAGGAATGGGTGTTTGTGCAGAAACTGCTTGCAGCCAGCCCCGTTGCTCTGGGAATTCAGGGTGGAATCAAGGCAGTGACTATTTTTTATGTCAGCTGCCACAGAACTAGTGACCTACTGTGAGAATGGAAACCCTCTGGAGTCTTTCTGACAGAAATATCAGACGTGCCATTGCAATCAGATTCCTCTTTGGATGGTTACCAGCCTTTCCAAATGCCCAATTTGTTATGGAATACTTGTACTTCTGTGGAGAATTTTTTCATTCTATCAAGCAAGATTCAGTCCATCCAAGTAATACTATTGCCTCAGACTGGAAGGGACTGAGCTGGAAAGGGCTGTTGGTCTAATCAGCCATGACACAGAGCAAGAGAGAACACTTCTGAGTCAATAGAGGGCATTATGTGAAAGCTTCTGTTTCCAGAGTCACACCATGGGGCTGATGGGCTGCTTCAAGAGCACATAAACACTTACTGACTCTCCCATCAGACAAATGGGATTTGGTGGAATACGGGGGAGCTGTTTGTGGGCACAGCTGCCCAGCTGCCCTGGTGGCAGTGAGGTTTATCTGTGCTTTCAGGGAGATGGTAACCAGCAAGTCAGAGGCAGCTGCACAGGGCTCTCCTATTTTAGCTCTATTTGGTGTTTTCTTTCCATCAGGTCTGGTGTACAACCAGCACATTGGTTTGATGAACACAAGCAAATTCTGCTGGGGCCTGTTGAGTTAACCTGTCTGTAAAACAGGAGGAGGCAGCTGATGACCTGAAATCCATGCAGCCATGGCATTCAGCTGTCCCAAGATGTGAGGACAGGCTGCTACCTGAAAGGATGTATGTGAGAGGTTTTATCTGAGGAGCTCAGACACTGCTGGCCATGTTCATTTCTATCCAGACCTTTTGTAATGCAGATTAAGGTTGTAAAGGAAAAATCATCTGTATTTAAGTTTTGGCTTTTACAGACGAACTTCGTAAAAATTCAATCTGGATTGGGAAGGACAGGAACAATGCATAGGAACAACATTTTTCCATTATTAGATTTATTAGCTTGTAATAAATGTTACCCAGCAAGAAGCAATTTACAAGCATCAGTAAGGGTTCAACTGCTGTCTTAAATATCCCCCAAAGCCCTAAACAAAAAATAAACCAAACAACTCAATCCCTTAAAGGATGTAAGTGTTAAGGATGCCCTAAGCTTTTAAAGGGCTGAATATTCAAAAGTAAGGCTCTAAGGTAAATTAGTAAGATTTTTGTTAATTACAGAAAAATCACAGGAAGAATATCCATTACACCTTGACTTTTGCTCATGACTTCATTACTCTTCACTCTTTTCTCCCCATATTATCCAAATCAGGCTTTCTCCATACTAGTCCTGGGAAGATTAGCCCCAAAGAGGGAAGGGTTGTATCTGCAGAGAACACTGGCATTTTGAAGAGAGGGGAGCATAGGGGGATTGTGGGAGTGTGTATGTGTTGTGAGCATGTGGAGTTGAGATTTACACCTGTGTTCAGGAGATCCTCAGCCAGAGGATCAGCATTTTCTTAGGTCCTGCTCACCATAGACAGACAGTTTGGCCCAAATTCTGGAAAAGGAAAAAGCGTTGCAATGCCCCATCAACCCCTTGAAGATATTATATGGAAATATGAGACAGAACATCTCTGGTTTTATTAGAGAATTTTCAGCAAGGCTCAGATGTTGATTGTCACCATGATATTTTTCCCCTCCTGAGGAGCTGAGGGCCTCAGGAAAGAAATGTAAACAATAACTATCTGCTGCTGTGGAATGCAACAGGTGCATCTGTGATTGGTGCATGTTGGTTGTTTCTAATTAAGACCCAATCACAGATGCAGCTGCATCAGACTCTGAGAGTCACAAGATTTTGTTATTCTATTCTATTCTTGTTCTTTGTAGCCTTCTGATCATTCTTTTCTCTCTGTTCTTTTAGTATAGTTTTAATGTAGTATTTTAGTATAATATATAAGATAATGAATCAACCTTCTGAAATGGAGTCAAGCCTCGTGTCTCCACGCATGGGGTGTTCGCCTCAGCAGTTGATGAAGCAAAAGTAGAGCTGTAGCAGAAGAGATTGGTAGCTACAAGGCAGTGAAATAGTAAATGGAGAGAGAAAAGGCCACAAAAGAAGCAAGGTAATGAGGTGATGTTTAAAAAAAGACTGCATATGGCACTCGATGCCATGGTTTAGTTGAGGTGTTCGGGCATGGGTTGGACTCGATGATCTTTAAGGTCTCTTCCAACCTAGTCACTCTATGAATTCTGTGGGTAAAGTTGAGAGAAAGAACTAGCTGTATGACTGTGACTGGGGAAATGGGACTGAGGACATGGCAGAGGGCTGGGAGATGCCAGTGAAACGAGTCACACTGCACAGTGACAGGAAAAGCAGAGAGAAGTGAGACATCAGGGAGGTGTAATAGAGAACATGGGCTTCTCTTCTCTTACTTACATAAATTTGGAGCTGAAAGACTGTCAGAGAAAAAAGATACCTATTTTTGAGACAAATCTAAGTGAATGTTAGGGCCAGGAAGCAGTTGGGTGTTTATATACACTTTTTTCTTCCCAAACCTACCAAAAAGCTGCTTTCAATTAAAAAAGAAACATAAGGCTTTGCATGGCTCTGTAATACATAGGTGGTGGCCTCCTCTTAAAGGAACGCATCCACCACTGTCCTGCTGCAATGCTAAATATGCCTGAAATCCTCTCATGATGGTTAATCTCTAACTTGGATCTTCTACTGATACACTCCTGTGACAAAGGTCATACTTCTAATGACAAAAGTAAAGACAGGAAGATAGTAACATGGTGTCAGCAATGCAGTTGAATTTTACTTTTATTTTGCAACTTAGGGGTTATTCTACCTAACAGGCTGCTTCTAGTCAAAACAGAACAGGAATGCTCCCTCTGCTCTTCAGGGAGAGTGTTAAGATTGATTATCTCAATGTGTTCTAGCTGCCTGTAGATACATAACCTTTCTGAATGCTTGCTTGTGATGGAAACTGTTTGCTGTGTTTTGCAGGTACTTCTGAACTTTCAGCTTCATCCCGCTCTCTCCTTGCCTCTGATTTCTCTCCCATTTTCTTATGAGATTTGCTTTTTCTCAAATGCAATTTTTCTCTTTCTCGTCTCTCTTTTGCACCTTCAGGTTGCTAAAAGGCAAGGAAAAAAATAACAGGGAATTAAAAGAGACTCCTACAAGAAAAACAACAAAAAAGCTCATTATTTTGTTTCACTAAATAACAAAATTTTCCAGTAACTTCCTCACCAAGATCAGCTTTACCATGATGGGCTCAAATTCAAGGCCCAGGCCAGTCACCCTAAAGCTCAGCAAGAAGCAACACACATGCTTTGATTTTACTCTGTATATGATAGAAGGGTCACAGGCTCAGTGGACTTGAAGAGGAGAGCAGACAGAAGGGAGAAAGAGAGGGGCTCTGAGATTTCAGCCCATACTCCATGTTTCTATCCTTTCATGTGATCCATCTTTACATCCCTGAAGACTTCTCAGTGCTAGCTGCAAAGACCTCACTGAAAACAAGGGCTGAAGGGTTCTCAAAGGCATTTATATGAGAAAAGCAATATACAAGGAAGGAGATTAATTACCTTTCCCACATTGTTCACCTGTCTGATCATGGTGGTTTGAATTGCACCCACAGAGCTCTGAATGCAAAAAAATGGTCCATTTGAAGACACAGGTTTAAGCCCAAATTTCCTTTCAGATCTCTGATCTATTGCTCAGTTCTTTGAGATTCACAAGTCCTTCACATCTCCCAAACGACAATTGTGACTGAGGGAATGGCAACAACTTGGTCTTCTTGAAAAACACATTAAAATACAGCTCAACACATCCCACTGCTGATTACAGAAGGGCACTGGAATCCATGCTTTTAAGTGGAACTGAAGCCATAATTAATGCATTGTGCTCATCACTATATCGAATCATACATCAACTATACACTCACAGACTTTCTAGCCACAGGCATTTCTGAGAAATTATAAATTATAAACCAGACAACCACTGGTGAATGCTGGCGCATGAGGCAATGTAAATTTCCAAATGAAAGCAATTGAGTAGTTCCTGAAGAGGAAAAAGAAGATTAGGGAATGCACTTGAAATTTTGACCATGGTGTAACAGTGCTGTCATCATCATAATTCTGCATATTCTTAGACGATTGGTCATGCAATGACTATAATTATGGGACTGTAATTATGTAATTATGCTGCCTATTGAAAAGAAATTTTCCCCCCTCTTTTGCTGTGCAAAGAGAGTTGAAAATTACTTTTCCATACAAATTGTCAGTGTCAAGAACCTGGAACAAAAAAAGGATACTTCCTTCTGTGGTTATTTGAAGCTAATGTCAGGTGTTATTCAAGCACAGCTTTTTAAATGGAATGACAATTTGATGGGGTTTTCTGATACTTAAAAGTGAGTTACGATTTATTACCCTTTCTTCAGCAGATACGATGTATCTCATGTGTGTTGATGAAATAGCCAATAACAACTTTTTGTCTAGACTTTAATAGATTTTTATTGTTATTGGCTATTTCATCAACACACATGAGATAAAATGCTCATGGCTGGGAACAGAATGATGAGGAGAAGGATGAATTGGGCAGAGAATCCCCTGCATGCCCTTTCAGTGAAAATATGTTCTGCTACTTATAGCAATAGCTGCTGCTGCAGCTGTGTGTGACACTGCAAAAAGCAGATGTATGGAGTCCTGAGGGGTAAATGAGAAGCCTGCAGTGTCTGGCAGTATTACAGACAACTCCACACAGGTTAAGTCAGGTCAGCAGCAGTGAAAAAGTGAGCTGGGTCTTGCAGCAGAAGTGAAGCAAACCTGGGTTTTTATTGTCATGTTTTGTGGTCACAGCCAGAGAAACCTCTGAAAACATTGCCACATGAGCCGGTGTGGTGTTTCATTTTGAGGATTAACATTTCTGAATAAGCCTGGACAGTAACAGAACATCAAGAATCCTCACACTAATTACACAACTTTAACCTGGTTTGTGCTTCTTGTAGTAATTTGAGACCACATATGAGAAATTCCAATTGGAGTTTATTTCTACACTTCCCCCAGCAAAGTCACAGCAATTACACAAAGGATGAAGCTGACTTGGTTGGTTGGGCTTTTTTTCTTCTGTAGTGATCTTATTACCTACCAGAGAAACTGAGCGTTTGCTTTTGAGATGCAATTGCTTTTCAAAGGACTCTGCAAATTCCTGAATGGAGTTTGATCTTGTCTCTGGACATGAGCTGTCTGTTGAAGGTGTTCTGCTTGCTTTCCTGTGGCAGTGACATTTGACATCTTGGTCTTCTTGAAATTCCTTGGAGCCCCTGAGGTGGCCTGAAGATGAGCCTTTGGCAGAAGCATGAAGTCGTGTTGTATGGAGGGATGACAGCTTGGCCTGAAAAACAAGTCTTTGTTTACTGTTGAATAGCAAAGCAGAACACACAAGGCAGATTTTTTTTTCTGCCACAGACACTCTCCCAAACATTGGTGCAAAGTGAAAGACTCTCCCCAGAATTCTGTATCTTTCTTTTTAAGTGTAGGAGAATCACACTGCCAAGAACTTGCTTTCTGGAGGCAGCAAGGGCAGAATTTCCTATTATTTCTGGGTTTAAGGATATAAGTTTTGGCACACAATGGAACATTTCAAATTTAAAGTGTGCTGGGTCCTCTTAGTGTTCACTGAAAAAGAACTGGGACTCTTCATAACCTCAAAAAGTCACTCCTCACACCTGGCTGCAGTTTCTAGGCAGGACTCCCAAAAAGTATTACCCAGCCTTTTGTAGCCAGATGAGTCACGTAAGAGGTTTGACCCACCAGTGGTCCAGGTCTTATCAGCTGTTTGAGTTTATAGAGTGTGACAGCAACCATTTCTCATCCAGTTCTGTCAAGTTTTCAGTACAGTATACATGCAGACAAGCTGTTTTATTTGCCAGCTTTGAATTTTCTGCTGTTTTTTTGGGCACATTTGTCTCGAACCAATGAAGAAGCACTTTCAGGGTACTGAGGGACACATCCCTACCAAAGAAGTAGTAGGAAACAGACTTCTGCAATTCCATTTGGAGGACTGAAGTCAGAATGAGTAGATAGTTGTTTTGTTTCTGTGTGATTCAATTTTCCGAGGCCTGGCATGCAGATAAAAGCTATTGATCTGCATCAGCTGTGTTTAATTGAATGCCTGCAAAGGAGATTAAACTGATACAGAACTGCTGTGTCCTGTCATGTGGAGTCATGAATTGGTGGTTTTAGAAAGGGACAGACTTGTAGAAGAGAGGCATGAAAAGGACACCACACAGTTGGAGATACCCCAAACCCTGCCAACTGTTGATGATTTTCAGGATGAGTAGCTGAACACAGGTAAGATGCAGAAGGTGAAAGTTGTGAGAGATAGGAGGTACTGAAAATTACACCCCTGCAAGTGTCAGATTAAAGCACTCCAAGCACCCAGCTGCTGGCATACATTTTTGAATGCATATATGTTTTGGACATTATGAGGAATTTCTTCACAGACGGGATGACTAGATATTGGAATAGACTGCCCAGGGAGGTTGTGGAGTCACTGTCCCTGGAGGTGTTTAAGGAAAGACAGGACATGGCACTCAGTACCATGGTCTAGTTGACATGGTGGTGGATTGGTCAAAGATTAGAGTCAATGATTTCAGGGGTCTTTTCCAACCCAATTGATTCTGTGACTTCATTTTGTATAAGCCTGGTGCTAAGCCTTCAGCTACTAAGTAACCCTGAGAAGTTCTGCTGGCTTTAAGGGAGCTGTGATTGTTTATAACAAAGGAAGGCTTATCCCACCAGTCCTGTAATGCTTTCTAAGAAAATCCAGTAGAAAACCCTACACTCAATGCAGGGTTTGTGGTGTGTGTATTGGTTGTTTTGTTATTTTAACAAACAGGGGAAACTAAAACAACTGTATATAGTGTTCACATGAATCTACAAAGCTTGGACTGCAAGGGATCTGAAATATGCCCAGCACACAACCTCCTTCACTCTGAATGACCTATTCCTGCTACTCTAAATGTACTGGCACAACAGGGACCAATGCAGCCTTTCTCTGCATAGAGAGGCTGTGCATTCATATGGCTGCAGCTACATCACATTAGACAGGCTTGATGAGAGATGCTGAAAATAATAAATCCTGCACCTGACAGAAGTACCTAATATTTGAAGAGTGTTTGCAAAATACATGGTACTGGTTCCATTTTTTTTCCCAGGCATAAGCTTACTATGTCCAGTATTAAGAACTGCCTCTGAGAGTAGTGTTAATGATTTCTGCCATATTATTTTTACTTTGGTTTCAAACCAGTCAATACAGCTGCAAGTTCTGTAAGGTCATATTGTATTGTTACTTTAGAAAGCATCAAAGCAATCGCATTGTGCTCAAGGGACAGGGGCACACGTGACATGCCAGGCTCAATAAGCCAAATGTCTTCTCTGACATTTTAATGGCACCAACCTATATTCTTTCCTGGAAATAAAAATTGTATCAGGGTAAAAATCACTGGTATCTGTTCCTAGAGGGTTTGGGAAAAAAAAACAAACCAAACACAGAAAGACAGCTGAAATGGGGGATTGTATTCTATGAATCTTGTTTCACAAAGACTGTAAATGTTTTCTTTTACTAAGACATTATTTTTTAGTTTCCCTTCACAGTCAGAATTACAGTCAAGCCCTTAACAAAAAGATTGCAGTTTACCTACTGATATGGCAGCAATGGTCCAGAAAAGGGATGAGCTTTTCTCTGAAATGCCCATCTGCCTCAATGGGTTAAAGATACACCCACAGGTCTATCTAATCATATTACTGTGACTGTGCTTCCTCTTACAGTGCCTGTGCATGATACATTAAATTCTCCACTATCAAAATGGGGATTTTTTGCCAGTGCTGGGAAATCCAGAAGCACCAAGGGATGTCAGGGATTGTTTCTTATTCCCATTAGTACTCCTTTTTTCTGTGTTGGGTAAAGGCCACTCATGTTCAGTGTATCTATTTACAAAACAGCTAATCTTCTGCTAATTGCCAATCTCAAACACACAAAAGGTACACAAACAAAAATACTTCACAGAACAAAAATTGTTGTAAATATAATTTGCCTTATCACTTTCTCAGTTTCTGTTGTAGACAAGTTAATTGTTTACATCTTTTGGGCTTGACCTGAGAGCTTGCACAGCTGTCAGTAAGAACATTAATCTTCAGCGTGTCAGCACAAGTGTTCATTGTTTGCTGGAGTTTACACAATGACCCGAGTATTTTAGAGATATTTTGGAACATCTGACATTCAGATGCTCTCCCATGGCTTCATTTCCTTCCAAGAAGCTTACAGACAAGCATATATTTCTTAAAAATGGTTTGGTCTGGCCTTCAATTGGTCTATAATAACAATATTGTAGTAGATGTTCAGTTTAAATTTAGTTTAAATTAAGCATCAGTAACTTCAACAGCAGTCATTTGTTCTGCTGCCACTCCTAGCAATTTTCTCCTGTGAGCAACAATGTCTATTTGAAGGTGGATTCATGTATAGGGCTCTAAACTTCTTATTAGTTCTCCTTTGTCTCCAATCTTTTCCTTACAACAAAATGTCTGAACCTAAATGATGTAGGGTAACTACAATGTGACAAGGAAAGTCATAGCCAGAGGCTTCAGAAAGGGTACCACAGTTAATTTGTCTAAAGTTTGGCAGGGGAACAAGTTAAATAAAGGAAATGGAAACAGCTGACTTAATTATCCCCAGGCAGTTTTTACATTCAGTGTTGGCCCACAGCAACATACAGAACTCTGAGCTTTCCAGGACAGTGCAGTTTCATGTTGTTTTAGCCTGACAGATTGGAGTTACATGTTTTAGCCTGACTTGCAAGTGACCCAGTGTAGGATGAATATAATTTTGTGTTCCCCTCTACAAAGTGTGAATGACAATAGCAAAAGCATTGTGCAAAGTTCATCTCAGTGGTGTTTGTGAGGTATACGAAGATACTGGGAAAAAAATAATGAAAACAGCTGTTAGTTTGGGAGTTACTCTTCAAATCTTTATCCATACTTAGGATGGGGGCTGTACCATGATAGGGTACCACAGGAGTTTATTTTTGTCTTTGAGGTGGAAGCAGTGGCTTGAATGTCTCACTATAGCACAGGAAAAACTACAAAGACCAATACAGCAGTTTGTATCTGAAAGTGATTTTTCAGCAGAACCACCTTTTGTGCTACCTTGAGAGCACTTTACTTTGCAGCATCAAAAGGCTCATGGTGATGAAGCAGTTCCCATGGGCAGGACTGCTCTGCTGCTGTGCCCTGAATACCAGCCTTGGGTATGAGACCAAGTGAGCTGGCAGTGCTCTTTTGGCAGTACCATTGTATCTGCACAAGGAGCTTTTCCCAACAGCTGTGTCCGAACTTGCTGACTTGATTTTAGACAGTGGAGTTATCAATTCTCAATGTTGAGACAGAAGAAAGGGTACACTGTGACCTGCTGTGGAGCTATTAGCTTTCAGAAGAGATGCACTCTAATCTCAGTTATTATTCCTCCTGACAATTAGCACTGTTCAGATAAAATTAAGACAGTATTTAAATAACAGTACCAGTGTTTTGAATCTTATAACAGTTATAATTTGCAATAATGAATCTTACAGTAGTTATAATTTGAAGTAACTGTGCAAAAAACGAACATCTAGATGCAATAGCTCTCAAGTTACTGCTCTCACCAAGGAGATGCTCTTTCTGGAGGTATTTACAAGGCTTCAGTAATGCCCATTTGTTTAACTTCTGGCTTTGGTTAGTCAGCACATACTACTGCTTTTTACTACCAACTACTCAACTTCCAAATCGAGAGTTCATTTAAAAATGTATCCGCAAATTATAAAATCCCCAGACAAATATTCCTGTCTCATTCCTCCAGTCAACATCTGGCACTGAGAAAAAAGGCAGTTAAAATTTACGTCTTCTATATGAAACTAGTGGAGAAAGACAAATTTGTATGAAGCATTCATGTAAAGGTCAGATATAATTAACATCAAAAAGTCACAGTCTTTCTGTCAGCTAACTTAATTTAAATTATAGGTATGGATTCAGGAATGCAAGTATAGCAATTTGAATAGCTATTAGCTAACTATTTAAATAACTTTTGAACAAACAGAATATAAGGACATGCTAATACAGACACAAATATACAAGATGTGTTCAGCACCTTGCTGAATGGAAAGAGATTTAAAGTACATTCTTACACTCCAGTTTCTTCTGAGGCCTAAAGAAATCACATATGCATGGATCTCTGAGTGAAAAAAGTAAAATACAGTAAAATTAATTAACTTCCTTCCCCTCCCATTAATAAATGTTATGTATTCAGCATTTTGATGGAATACAGCAGCAAAGCTCTAGCTCACTCTGTCTTGCAATCTGTGGCTGACGTGAAATATAAAAGTAAATAACAAATGTGGCTGATCAGACTAGAAGTTCTGAATGAAGGTTATGTCTCCAGCCTGCCCGTGAATTCAAAGAGGGAGGAAGTGGTTTTGGAACTCGTTAGTTTTTCTTAGCCAATTTTTTTTTTTTTTTTAATGAAAAATCCCACAGCTTAGAACCTGACAGCTGCAGTGGAGAAGAACTTGCAAATGGCACAAAAAAAAAGTTTGGAAAAGATTAGCTGCTCCTCCCCAGTATATTAGCATTTGCTTCATTGCAGCCATAATGATCTAAGGATATAAGTAAAAACTGGTTTGTAAGGAAACATAGTATCTTTGTTAAGACAACTGATGTAGTTGGAAAAAAAGGAGACAAGTTTGGACCACCTAAGTGTTCTTTTAAAAGCTGAAATGAAAGCAACAATCTTTGAATAAAGAGAAGATTATGAACAGTTTTCAGTTTAATCTAATTTTGATAACCACTTAGACAGTTGTGAGCGGCCTTCTGCACATGAACCTGCCCCTTTCCTGACTGTTTTAAGAATAAATAATGTACTTCTACCTTAAAATCTTACTTCACAGTTCAATAAGCTTTGTTATGTGTTGGATCATTGTTTTCAGAGTCAGATGTTTTAAAACAGGAGGGACTCTATCCTCTAGCTTAAAATAGAAATTACACTTACCTGAACACAGGTAAGTCTCAAGAGGTAAAAAGTAAAACTTCCTGGAGACAACCTAGTTGCATAATTTTTAAAACATATGGAATTATACAGTTTTTCACATGAGAACAGACTTGTTATGGCAGTCTTTATGTATGCAGATGCAAAATGTTTTGATGTCTACCAGGTTATGCTGAGCAGCCAGAACAACACTGTAATACATAGTTAGGCAGCTATTATAAACTTCTCCTTACATTTCTGGTCCTATAACTTTTCTTGGAGTTTGCCAGTTGTCTGTATTCCAAGACCCCAGAGGCTTGACCCTGTCAGACAGCTAAGCTCAAAAAGCAAAAAACTAGCAGCTGCCAGCAGGAACTGAATTTACTTGGCAAGGTGTCCCATACTCCTCATACATCCCTGGGGCTGTGCCTCTGGGAATGGACCTCATATTTATACATACACTACCTGCACAAATAGAGAAAGCTGCACACAGCCCTTACCGGTAGGGATGCCCTCCTTTCACTGCAGAGCTGTGGCTGACGTTTCTTGTGGCCTCTGCCCTCTTTCTCCTCATCGATCAAGTTGTGGCCCCAGAAGCTGCTCATCCATTTTGCAAAGAAAATATCATCATCCTCATCATATTCCATGTACAAATGCTCCAGACCTGGGGGGCGTGTGGTTTCTCCCAGCCAGACAAGGCAAAGCAAGGTCAAATTCCACCACCAAGCCAGTAGCTTCTCACTGTTCTGCCAACAAGAGGAAGCAGACACAGAGTTTCAACCACCTTTTCTGCATTCCCTCCCCAAAACCTGTCCCACTGCAGCCCCAGGCACTGTCTAAACATAAAGTCAGCCCTTTCTCATCTCTTTTCAACGAGGTTTCCTTTAACCTTTCCATTGCAGCAATGTCCAATATGACACTGCCGCAGGGGGTGGGTGGCAGGGCTGTGGCTGCTCCCTGTGCTGCTGCTGAGTGCCCCAGCTGTCAATACCAATGCAGAACTGCCCACAGTTACATGCCTGCAGGGGGCAGACCCAAAGTAGGCTTGTGATTTTTGAGAAGCAGAATTGACATATTGATGTTGGTCAGAAACTGGCACAGCTGCTTGCAGAGACCTAGCTGGCTCTGTGGGAGGGAGCACTCTTCCCCTGTTGCTCCCTCTCTCCTGACTTCTGTTGCCTATGCTTCCTTTAGTATTTCAGAAATGTCATCTGCCTAGGTAGAAACCCTTCCTAAAGCAACTGCTCATTCATTTTTGAGTTATGACAGACAGTGCAATCTTGCAGCTGCTGCTTTTCACCTGAGTAATTTCATCTGCTATATCAGGGGTATGGGAAGCCCTGCCCCACTTGAATGCACTCAGGGTAAGAATGTGCTGTTTCCTCCTCACCAGCCCAGGGTGTAAACCATACAGCTCTTGCCTATACCACACAACAGAACAGGACCAGGCAATGACTTCTGGCCCTCAGACTAAGTGTCTAAACTGACCACATGTACCCTACGTGGTGTCTCTGCTGAGGGTCTCCTCAGGGCTCTGCACTGCAATTACTGCACTGTGGCTTTTTTGTCATTTTTGTGTCTCCTTTATTTCAAAATCTCTGATATAACACAAAAACTGTTGTCTGCATGGTATGAAACTGGAAGATGTGTTATGTGGTTTGGGGCCTGGCAGGAGGACAATGAGGGCTCTGAGGCTGTAGAGCCTGTTGGGATGGTGCTGGAAGGCTGCATGGGAGGAAGAACCCAAACTGAACTTCTCACTGGAAGCAAACCTTGGTGTGTGCTGGTGTTCTTCTGGTGCCCAGGCGTTGCTGGGGAGATGCTGGTTGGTCTTGGACAGAAATATGCCAAAAAGCTTGCTGGTAATTTGGCATTACAGAGAATCAGTGCTCCAGCATTAAACCTTTTCCTCAACTTGTTTAGAACTACAGATGTAGCTACAAAACTCCAGTTTCACTCATGGGGGTGTAAGTGTGAGGTGTAAGTCTCTGTATGAGAGCTTGGGGACACAACCATGCCTGCAGCAGCCTGGACAGGAGCAAGAAACAGTACAGTAAAAAGACACCTGAAGCAATGAAAAGGATGTGTAGGCTGATTTTCTAGTAAGGGAGGACACTCCTGGCCATATTCAAACAGCCTGAATTTGACTTACATCCTGGAGGCCACCCATCTGTACAGGCAAGGCACATCTGAAGGCCTGCAGGAAGCATGATGTGTCTGGAATTGAGGCTGTCCCAGCAGGAAGCTATTGACCTGTTAGATACATATTTTCTATTGTGAGGTGACAGGGAGAATAGGGAAAAGATTGTCCCAGTTTTATCCAAATATTCTTACATAAGTAGTAATAATCCATCAATTAAAGGACATTTCTCAAGTTGTTTCTCAAGTATCTGCAGGCATGCAGATACACTGACTCAGATTGCAGCAGGGCAAATTTTAGTTGGGACCCTGAGATGTTTGCTTCGCAATCTTAATGTTGATTTTATTTGCAGCCCTTTTTTCTTCTGTGCAATGTCTTCTAACATTTCCCTCCTACCTACAATGAAGTTTTCAGGCACGAGATGACTGGGGCTGATTGTAAAAGCGTATCAAAAATTATTCCTGCTCATCTTCAGCTGAGTGCTCCATGGAAATAAGTGGAGACAGGAACATAAGCTTCCTCTGCCTACAGGTAAGGATTTTAACTAGGCATAGACACATACATGAACAAAATTCTAGTATTACATATTAAATTATTTTTGTGACAGATTCAATTAATAACTGGGAAGAAAACAGGAAGATATAATTTATAACAAGGATTGCTCCAAAACTTTTAAGTACAAAGTCCTAGAAGGTCTGAATCAGCCACATTAGCTGAAACTTCACAGAATTAGAGAACCAATGTAAAGTTGGGAGAGGCCACAGTGGATCATCTGGTCCAACGTCCCTGCTCAAGCAGGGTCATCCCAGAGCACAGGGTTGTACCCACACAGGTCTGGAATATCTCTAGTGAGGGAGACTCCACAACTTTTCTGGACAACCTGGTCCAGTGCTTAGTCACCAGCACAGAAAAGAATTTCTTCCTCATGTTCAGGCGGAACTTCTGTGCCTCAGCTTCTGCCCGTTGCCTCTTGTCCCATTGCTTGGCACCACCGAGAAGTTCCTTTATCCATCTTCTTGGTATTCCCCCTTTAGGTACTTGTAGACATTGATGAGGGCCCCTCTCAGCCGTCTCTTCTCAAGGCCGAACAGGCCCAGCTCCCTCAGCCTTTCCTCTTTAGAGTCCCTTAATCACCTTCGCTGCCCTCTCCGGGACCCGCTCCAGGAGCTGCACGTCTCTCTCGTACTGAGGAGCCCAGAACTGAACGCAGCGCTCCAGATGTGCAGCGCACTTCTGGTGTCAGCGGCTCAGAACTCCTTCGGCACGGACCGCTCCAGCCCCGAGGCCATTCCAGCGTCTTTCGCCGGGGACCGAGCCCGGCCCGGCCCCGCCCGGGCTCCCCGCCAGGGGCTGCGGCTGCCCCTCCGCGCCGGCAGGGGACGCTGCGGGCGGGCGGAAGCGGCGGCGCGCCCGCGCCCTCCCGGCGCGCCCCGCGTGTCCGCTGACCCTCCCTCCTCCTCCTTCTCCTCCTCCTCCTCCCGGGCGTCATGGCCGCCTCGAAGCCCGTGGAGGTGCCGGGCGGCGGTGGGGGCTCCACCGGGCTGTCCCGGTGGCAGCTGGCGTTGGTGCTGGGCGCGCCCATCCTGCTAGGAGCCGGCGCGATCTATCTGTGGGGGCGGCGGGCGGCGCGGCGCGGGAAGGGCGCTAGCGAGCGGAAGACCCCGGAGGGGCGGGCGAGCCCCGGGCTCGGCGGTGAAGGCGGCTCCGGGCAGCCCGACGGGCCCGGACACGAGGAGATGGTGAGCGGGGAGCGGCGCCGCCCGTGGCGGCGGCAGGGGCCGGGCTCGCCGCCGGGCAGCCGGGGCCGGGGTCCCGCCGCCGGCCCGGAGCAGCGTGGGGATGCCTGCGATCTGCGGGCGGCAGGGCCCGACAGGCCGCTGGCCCCGTCCGGAAAGCGGCTGTCAGGGTGCTGGTCCCCCCCGAGGAGCAGGCGTGTGATGGGATGGAGCTCGGGTGACATCCTGGTCGTGCTCTGCGTGACACGCCCGGCAGGTCACAGAATCACAAACTGGGCAGGTCGGAAGGGCCCACGGTCGGTGATGTGGTCCAACCTCCGGGGTTGAGCAGGGTCATCCCAGAGCACATTGCACAGAATTGTGTCCGAACAGTCTGGAATACCTCCAGTGAGGGAGGCTCCATGCCCTCTCCGAGCAACCTGTTCAGTATTTGGTCACTGCACGGTAAAGAAATTCTTCCTTATGTTCAGGTGGAACTTCTGTGCATCAGTTTCTGCCCATTGCTTCATGTCCCATTGCTTGGCACCACTGAGCAGAGCCCAGACCCATCCTCCTGACACATTTTCTCCAGATACTGATAGATAATTATGAGGTCCCCTCTCAGCCATCTCTTCTCAAGGCTGACCAGGCCATTCTCCTTTAGGTTTTGCTTCTATGAGAGATGCTTCAGTCCCTTAAATCACGTTTGTCACCCTTGGTTGGATGTGCTCCCAGACCTCCATGTCTTTCTGTGGTCAGCCTGGGTGACCCACGGCGTTCTTAGCCAGGCATTCATGGTTGCGGTTCTGCCCTTGCTGCACAGGGATCGGGAGTAGTTTGTTCCAAGATCAGGCATTGCCAAATGCATCTTCTCATCAAGTGGCTGAGCATGGATCTGTGCTGCTGAGGGGGGAACATACTCTAGACCTCTGAGGCAGAGGTATCTGTGAATAAGTTTCCTCCAGGAATAGTGTTTTGAAAAGGAAATCTGTGATCTCTTGTGTGTGAGATGCTGGATACAGCAGAGTGGAAAGAAAACAAAATCAAGATTGTTTTAAAATGTTCCATGAAAATATAGAAGCCACACAGTTCATGCAGCAGAGACTTCAAAGTGTAGAATTTGCCTAGTAGGCATGCTCTCAAAGCATACATCTATCCAGTTGTAAATTACCATTCTGAGAACTTTCAAATAAAATGGTCTGTGCAAAAGCTCAAGGACAACATGTAAGATTGGAGTCCAGATCAGATCTATGGTTCTCTTGTGTATCTGTGTTTGAAAAAAATGCCTCTAAGATGCACCTTCTGCACATCTGCAGTCCCAGATGTACCTTGCCACTCATGCAGCATTACTGAGGTGAGGTTGCAGTTGACAAGCATGTTTAAAGTGATGGATTTGACAAACTGATGGGCTTTGATACGAGTATCCCAACTGTATTTTCTTCTCCTGTTCTTGTGTGTCACCCAAAATGCTTTGAACTGTCAGACTGTTTAAGCTTCCCATCTGAAATGATCAGGAGAGAAGAATCACCTCTTGGAGGCTGGAAAAAGTCCGTTTTAACCTTGATGGTTTGATGATGAAGATGGATGCGCCTGGGCGGACACACATGGGAGTGGTGAGGAAGGTGGCAACTTCCCCAGCTAGTGAATCATAGCTGCTCTCAGGCATTCCTGAAAGCACAGTAGGCTGTAAAACCTATGCTGGACCTTGAGGCAATTACTTCAGTGCAGTAATTTGTTCCTTCCTGGGCACCAAACAGTACTGAAGAAGTTGTGTACAGACTGTTTACTGTGGTAGCTTTGG